TATGTTCAGTTTCTGGGTTATGGGATTAATGGAAGCCCAAACCTCAGCACCACTCAATATACCCTTGTAAAAAACCTGCACATGTATCCCCTGAATCTAAAATTAAAACAGATTTAAAAAAATACATACATACATATATATATATATATATATATATATGGCTGGGCATGGTGGCTCAAGCCCTTAATCCCAGCACTTTGGGAAGCTAAGGCAAGCAGATCACAAGGTCAGAAGTTCAGGACCAGCCTGATCAACCTAGTGAAACACTGTCTCTGTTAAAAATACAAAAATTAGCTGGGCATGGTGGTGTGCACCTGTCTGAAGCAGGAGAATTGCTTGAACCGGAGGCAGAGGTTGCAGTGAGCTGAGATCATACCGCTGTACTCCAGCTTGGGCAACAGAATAAGACTTCATCTCAAAAAAAAAAAAAAAAAAAATTACTGCTTCTTAGAGTTGCTGTGAAGAATAGATACTAGTTTATAAAGTGCTTTAGGCCAGGTGCACTGGTTTATGCCTGTAATCCCAACACTTTGGGAGGCCAAGTGGGCAGAGCACCCAAGGTCAGGAGTTAGAGACCAGCCTGACCAACGTAGTGAAACCCCATCTCTACTAAAAATACAAAAATTAGCCCGGTGTGGTGGCGGGCGCCTGTAATCCCAGCTACTCAGAGGCTGGGGCAAGAGAATTGCTTAATCCCTGGGTGGTGGAGGTTGCAGTGAGCCGAGATCATGGCATTGCACTCCAGCCTGCGTGACAGAACTAGACTCGTCTCAAAAAAAAAGAAAAATAAATTTAAAAAGTGCTTTAAATGGCTCCTGGCATATTAATGAGCTTTTATTTTTAGCTTGTTGTTAATATCATCCTAGCTATTAATATCATCTTATTATGTAACAAAGTTACAGTATATTGCAATCAAAGCCAGGTGCAGTGGTGTGGGACTGTAGTCCCAGCTACTCAGGAGGCAGAGGCGGGAGGATTGCTTGAGTCCAGGAGTTCTACGCTGCAATGCACCATAATTGCACCTATGAACAGCCACAGCATTCCAGCCTGGGCAACATGGGGAGACCGTGCCTCTAAAAAAAAAAATATGGAGTCAAGTTAGATGCCTGAATTCCAGTCCAAAGGCTGTCACTGAGTTCTGTGTCACTTTGAGTAAATAGCTTAAGATCTCTGAGCTCCAGTTTTTCTCATTTGTTTAATATATTGCTTGCTTTGTCAGGTGTAGTGAGCATTTTTTTTTTTTTTTTTTGAGACAGAGTCTCACTCTGTCGCCTAGGCTGGAATGCAGTGGTGTGATCCTGGCTCACTGCGACCTCTGCCTCCCCGGTTCAAGTGATTCTCTTACCTCAGCCTCCCTAGGAGCTGGGATTACAGGTACCTGACACCAAGCCCAGCTAATTTTTGCATTTTTAGTAGAGACAGAGTTTTACCATGTTGGCCAGGCTGGTCTTGAACTCCTAACTTCAGGAGATCCGCCCGCCTCGGCCCCCAAAGTGCTGGGATTACAGGCGTGAGCCACCGTGCTTGGCCGTGAGCACTCTTATACTTTAGTGCTAACTACAGGGCTTGGCATGAGCCACCCTTCCTACTGTGCTTTCCTTAAACATCCTATCGTATCTGCTGATACATGCATATGAATTAGAGCAGGCTGGGTGCCGTGGCCCATGCCTGTTAATCCCAGCACTTTGGGAGGCCAAGGCCAGAGGATCATTTTCTATCTCTACAAAAAATTATTAAAAAAAGAATTTAGAGTGGGAGGTTGCAAACTACAGCCTGCTATATGGCCTGCAGACTATAAATATTTTTTATATTTTTAAATGGTTGAAAAAAATCAAAGGATATTTGTGACATGAAAACCATATAAAAGCCAGGTGCAATGGCTCATGTCTGTAATCCCGGCACTTTGGGAGGCTGAGGTGGGTAGATGACTTGAGCCCAGGAGTTTGAGACCAGCCCTTGTGACATAGCGAGACCCCGTTTCTACAAAACGTAAAAAAATTAGCTGGGTATGATGATGCGTGCCTGTAGTTCTAGCTGCTCAGGAGGCTGAGGTGGGAGGATTGCTTGAGCCCAGGGAGGTTGAGGCTGCAATGAGCTGTGATTGCACCATTGCATTACAGCCTGGGTGACAGAGCAAGACCCTGTCTCGAGAAAAAAAAAAAAAGAAAATCATATGAAATTCAAATGTTGGTGTTTGTTAATAAAGTTTTATTGGAATATAGCCACATTCATTCATTTATATATTATCCCTCCCTTTGTTACTAACAATGGCAGAGGCGAGTGGCTGTGACATAGATCATATGGGCTGCAAAGCCAAAGATATTTGCTCTCTGACCCCTTACAGAGAGAGTTTGCTGGTCACTGGTTTAGAAGCACATCCATGCTCTATATTCGGGGTATGTAGTTTAGTAGACAGACCCATGGGAGGACAGGTACAGTGGCTCATGCCTGTAATCAGAGCATTTGGGGAGACTGAGGTGGGATGATTGCTTGAGCCCAGGAGTCTGAGACCAGCCTGGGCAATGTAGTGAAACCCCATCTCTACAAAGAGTTTAAAAAATAATAATTAGCTGGGCATGGTGTCATGCACCTGTAGTCCCAGCTATTTAGGAGGCTGAGTGGGGAGGATCACTTGAGCCTGGGAGACGGAGGTTGCAGTGAGCCAAGGTGGTGCCATTGTAGTCCATCCTGGGCTACAGAGTCAGATCCTGCCTCTAAATAAAAATAAAAATAAAAATAATAGGCCGGGTGCGATGGCTCACACCTATAATTCTAGTATTTTGGGAGGCCAAGGTGGGTGGATCAGGTGATGTCAGGAGTTTGAGACCAGCCTGGCTAACATGGTGAAACCCCGTTTCTACTAAAAATACAAAAAATTAGCCTGGTGTGGTGGCGCATGCCTGTAATTCCAGCTATTTGGGAGCCTGAGGCAGAATTGCTTAAACCCGGGAGGCAGAGGTTGCAGTGAGCCAAGGTCATGCCATTGCACTGGGCAACAAAAGTGAAACTCTGTCTCAAAAAAAAAAAGAAAAAAAAGAAAAGAAATACCCATGTGATCACTTCACTGTTCTGGATCCAAGATTCCTCATCTGTAAAATAAAGAGCTTCCTGATTCCTTTATTCAGCGTAGATTCATTGAGAGCTTGATGCCAGACACTGTTCCAGGCAATGGGGCACAGATGTGAAGAAGACAGACAAGGTCTTTGCCCTTGAAGAGTGAGCAGCCTACTGGGGTAGACAGATGAGAAACAAATTAATGTGATTTTTCTGAAACATTTTAAATTGGGAGGTCAGACGGGAGCTTTTGGAAGTAATGAGTTTTTTTTCTGTTTGTTTTTGAGACAGAGTCTTCCTCTGTTGCCCAGGCTAGAGTATAGTGATATCACCCTGGCTCACTGCAACCTCTGCCTCCTGGGTTCAAGCAATTTTCATGCCTTGGCCACCTGAGTAGCTGGGATTACAGATGTTTGCCACCAGCCTGGCTAATTTTTGTAGAGATCTGGTTTCTCTCGATCTCCTGACCTCAAGTGATCCGCCCACCTTGGCCCCCATCAAAATGCTGGGATTACAGACATGAACCACTGCATCTGGCCTGGAAATAGTGAC